AAAGTTATATTAGGTCTTAATTAAGTAATAGATACACAGAAGAATCATCAGCTCCATTCTTAGTCCATATTGAATCTATTGATCAGTCGATTGGTAACTAACGACTCCTATGCTGATCGGAAAAAAAATTTGCTCTATGCTAATTTTAAAAAAATCACAAAGATTAGGAAGGTGGGAGTTAATACAATAGTTTTGATACCTATCAAGGAGCAAATGAATTTGTTACTATAGTAATAACAAAGAGTTATTTAAGTGGTTGAGTTATATTTCCAATTTTAGAATTTTGAAAACAGGAGTTGTGAGGAGGGTTGATCGATCTTTGACAGTGGAAGACACTATGGAGGGAATCACGTGGCTAGGTAAATCTTTGAAATAATTAACGTTGAGAAATTGAAATTTATGTGACGTGATTCTAATACATTAGTGGACTCACATTCGTAAAAATTATCTTTAACTCTAGTCTATTACCCGAGTTTTATATACATTTAAAAACGCGAGTGTATCCCTATATTAATAGAGTAAGAAAATGTATTAAATATTGTCATTGGAATCACTCGAATAATTGCAGAGGGAGAGACACTTGTCCTACAATCACCCCTTGAATAAATGTAAAGCGAATCGTGAGAAATGTACTAACTGTCACAGAGACTACCAAGCGTTTTATTTAGATTGTCCGGTTTTTGAATAGTACTTGAAATTAGTGAACATAGACGCCTATGCCAATGTGGACAGACAACTAGCTCAAAAATTGATAAAGCATCAAAATATTAGGAAGGTTGAGGAGGTTTACAGGGCATTTTGTTCTCTGGCTCATGTAGTAAGGGAGATTAGAGAGGACAAAATAGTGATTTTCCTTTGTCCACAGAATTTGAGTGGCGATTCGATCTCGGAAGTTTTGAAAAATACTGACCGGTAGGTAAGAATCAGCTTAATTTAGGTGGAGGAATAGGGATTGGACTCTTTTTGAAGGGAAGGGATTTTCGTCCTCTGACTAGAGACGTATGGTCTAACCGTGAAGTACCAAACTCCATAATTTCTTCTTCTGGTAATCCGGATGGGGTTTCGGGAGATGGTCCCACCACACATGAGTTAAATTTGGAGTCTATTAATCGAATGGATTCAAGAAAAGTAGGAGGTAAGATTGACCTTATTTTGGAATCGAATGCCTCGTAATATCATGCGGGAAACCACCCTGACCCAAGTTTACTTCATTTTGCTGGAGGATAAACTGATCAGAAATGAGAAATTGAGAAATATAGCTAGACTTACAGCGAGTTATTATCGCAAATAACACTGACTGCCACGGGCTTGAGTCATTGTTTATGTCTTCAGTGGAACTGTCTCACATCCAAGTTAAATGAATTTTCAAAATTGATTCTTGATTACAATATAGTTGCATTGCAAGAGACATGACTTAGATCAGGAACGACAACATCTGATAAAAGATACACAATTTTTAGAAGTGATAGACTAACAACTTAGGATTAACGACTTAGGAAATGACGGTGGAATTGCAGATTTTCATTGGAAATGAATCATTTCCACCTTCATTAATTGATCTTAATCCATTTAATATCAAGGACGTGGAATTTATTGCGATGACGGTCAACAAGCTTATTTTTAACAACAAAAAATTGTTAGTTATATCTATATATAGACCACCGAATATTAATATGAATGGGGATAATTGGAATAATCTTTTTAATTGCTTCTTGTCTTTTATTCAGTTATACAGTATTGCAATCTTGGGAGACTTCAATGCTTAAAATGACTTGTGAAGCTCTTCTAGAGATAATGCGATGGGTAGGTTTTTCATGGAGACTATTACGAACTCCTCTTTGTTAATTTTGAATGGTAGAGGTACTAAAATTTCTGCCTGTACTGATTACCTTAGCGTACCGGATATTTCAATAGTATCATCGGATCTGGGCTCAATTTCAAGTTGGATCGATTTTGGAGGAACCGCTTGGCAGTGATCATTAACTTATAATTATAAAATTTCACTCGGGGAATGTTTCGGCGAATTCTTTATCGATTTTTTGCAAACCAAAGTTAATACTTAACAAATTTGATAAAAACAGTTTTATAGAGAGAGTAAAGAAAGAAACTTACTAAGAAATGAACTTACTTCAGTCAATTAATCTTATAGGCTCATTCTTATATAAGACATGGTATGATTCCATCATGTGGGCCTTTTTTGAATCGAGGAGTTTGTCTAGAGTTTGAGCAATTTGATCAAATATAATCTGGAATTAGATCATAATATCAGTCAGAGATGTATTACACGTAGGAATAAAATAGTTCTATAGTGAACAAGACTTGTTCAGAAGTAGTTAATAATAGAAAAGAGACTTTTTTGAAACTTAAAAATTCTCCATCAAGATAGTATTTGGCCAATTACCGAAGAGTTTCTCACAAAGCGAAAAACATTATTGCTAAAAGAAAAAAAGAGAGGTTCCTTGAAATTGTAAATAAGATGGATTATAATCCACATTCTAACCCATTTTGGGATATGATTAACATTTTTAAAGGTTGTGCTTATAACAACTCTATTAACCCTTTTCGAATATCGTCTGAAGAGTAGTCGGGATTGACTATGCAAAACTTGGCCCATTGGTGTATTAATAAATTAGAGGATCCCAATGGTGAAGATTTTTTAATCGGAGATTTTTTCCGTCATTTTTATTAATGAAGTGGTGGATATTATTAAGACGGTCAAAGTCAAATGTGCATCGGGACCAGACTTGATAAATAACTTAATAGTTACTTCTTTATCACAAGAAGCCTTAATAATTTTGATTGATTCTTTTAACGCGTCAGATATTGACGTAGGGGAAACTTCTGAATTCATGAAATAGATCGGACACAATCCTGATCCCTAAATCGAACGGTAGAGGACTAAGACCAATATCTCTTGAAGCTGTGATAATAATGTCATCCACATAGCAATAATAGAATGGAATATGTCTGGTTAATGTCTTAAAAATATTACATTCCAAGTCTTGTATTACCACATCTGCTAGAATTAGAGAGAGAGGAGATTCCATCGACAGACCGAATATTTGTTCGTAAATTACATCATTAAATTTAAAAAACACATAAAATTACACTCTCCACTTTCATTTCCTCTCCTTTCCTCACACAATATATAAAGACTGTCGCTTGCTATGGTCCTTCATAATTTTTATCAGAAATAATTTTTACCAGTGTTCCAATAATTTTTACCAGTGTTCAGCTTTTAAGTTGTATTACTTACTCTGAGTCATATTTGCGAGGATTTGTGTCATAAGGTACGTGGTAAGCGATCGTATAATTATAATTAATTATTATCGTATAATATAATGTTACGTCCAAACCCTTAAACCGAGATAAGAAAGGAAAATGGAGAGGGTGTGGAAGGACGACTAGACTCAATCTTACAGATATACGCAGAGAGGCGAACACCTGTGAGTCGTACGCACCCTTTTCGGTCCCGGAATGCGGGTCAACGTCCCGAAAAGACGCTATGACGCCTGTTCCCGACGGACGGTGCGAACATCGGTCCTACTTTTTGGATCAAGGAACTTAATCCTTTTGATCCGGGACTGGATCTCGTGCGATCTTAAGAACTAGAGCGGGGAAGGAACCGAGGGGTAACAAAAAAAAGAGTGGAAAGCCAGCGGTCTTCAATTACAATTAATTTGTATTTATTATGCTTACAGGTATTATTACATTAAATGATTAGATGAATAAACATATCGCAATGGTGTGTGTGTGTGCGTGCGTGCGTGCGGTGCGTGTGCGTGTGCGGGTGCGTGTGTGTGTTAGGAGAGACAGAGGAGAAGGAGGATAGGGGTTACTGGGAGGGGGGGGGGGGTTGGAGGCGAAGAAGGTGGTGCAGGAGCACATTGGGACGAGGTACTTATACTGGACTGTGTAGGGAGTGGGGTTTCCTGGAATATAGACTGTTACCATTCTATCTCCTTCGTTAGTAAGAGAGGAGTAAACCGATCGGGAGAACTGATCCCAGTCGATCGGCGCGGGATCTGGATGGGATGGAGCAAGCGAAAGTGGATTTGGCGAAGGAGGGAAAGGGAATCGCTCCTCGAGGGGAGGAGGGGAATAATTTAGGATTTGCCTAATAGTGGGATCGAGTATGGGAGGGGAGCTTAATTCTGATCGGTCGCCGACCGGTGAGTATGAAATCTCCGGATGGTCGATAGAATCGTCGGTCGATTCTCCTGGAGGTGATCGGCTCAGGCTATCGCTTCGATAGTAAGGGGTTTGCCGCCGAGATTTTCTAGCGTTACGCACTACAACCGAAGGTTTAAAAATAAGTACATATTTGAGTACACGTGTACATGTGTATATATATATATTCAATTGAATAATAGATTTGTTCCATTCTCTAATTCAATAAAATATTTTAGTTTAGTCATGGACTCGGGGAAATGGAGGGATCACTCAGTGAAGCTTAAACGAAAATCAGCTAAATTTGTAAATATTTTAAAATAGATAACAGGATTATCATGGGGTATCAAACATGAACATCCATTATGTTTGTTAATGCGATAGTATTTTAGCTCAGTTCGAATGGGGCTCCTTTTGATTTACTAGCGCATCTAAATCTTACATCAAGCAAATTAATAACATGTTACGCAAAACATATAAAGTACGAGAGAAAGTCAATAAGTTTTTAGAAAATCTGTCAGAGCGCACTCGCTGTGTCATGTCACATTACTTTTTGACAAATAAGTAGCATCTTTCAGCTGATTACTGTCAAATTTTGAGCGGAATTCATCGTGTGGTTTCATTTCTGTAGACGATTAAAGCGACCAACCTTTGTATTTTTTGCAAAATGGAAAAAAACGAGTTTCATGCAGTGATCAAACATCTACATATGAAAGGTTTAACGCCGAAAGAAATCAAAGCCGAGTTGGATAATGTCTATAGCACATCTGCACCAGCGTTTGCGACTGTATACAATTGGATGAATGAATTTAAACGTGGTCGTACATGTGATGCACCTCGTTGCATTCGGACGTTGCAATTTGAGACGTCCAATTAAAGCTGCTACGCCAGAAATCATCGATAAAGTCCACACTATTGTTTTTACTGATCGACGAGTAAAAGTGCGCGAGCTTATTGAAGCCACAGGCATATCACATGGCATAGTGATTTCAATTTTGCATGAACAATTAAGTATGAAAAAGCTATCGGCAAGATGGGTGCCGCGTTTGTTCATTGTTGACCATAAGCGTGACCGTGTGACGATTTCAAAACAATGTTTAGAGATGTTTCAACGTAATCCAGATGAATTTATGCGTCGATTCATTACTGTGGACGAAACATGGATCCATTACTTCACATCGAAGACGAAGGAACAGTCAAAGCAATGGGCTTCACCGGGTGAACCAGCTCCGAAGAAGGTAAAGACCGTGAAGTCGGCCGGAAAGGTGATGGCCACAATTTTTTGGGATGCACGCGATATAATTCATATCGATTACCTTCCGTAGAAGCAAACGATCAATGGCGATTATTACGTAGCCTTATTGGACCGTTTCAACAACATTTTAAAGAAAAAACGTCCCCATTTGGCGAAAAAGAAAGTGCTCTTCCATCAAAACAATGCACGGGTGCAATTTACACGTGCCCGGCACCGGGAAATTCAATGAATTCCGCTACGAATTGCTTCCCCATCCAGCCATATTCGCCAGATTTAGCCCCCTGCGACTGTTTCCAAACCTGAATAAATGGTTCGGAGGAAAGAGATTTACCACCAGAGAGCAGCTCATCGCCGAAATAGTAGCTTATTTAGAAGGGTTGGACAAATCATATTATTCGAACGGCTTGAAAAAGTTGGAGAATCGTTGGATCAAGTGTATCGAGCTGAAAGGAGACTATGTTGAGAAATAAAAATGAATCGATCAAAAAAAATGTGTTTTACTATGTTTTTCTAAAAACTTATTGACTTGTCCTCGTAGCAATGGGTCTTCCCAAGACTTTAGCGAATATTGTGTGTTGGAAATTCTCTAAACAATATCCGTTTGAATCCAGAGTAGCGAAACTGGCGGATTTTATTTCCTTTTAAAATATACTCGTATACAACTTAAACATACAAATTATTAATAAAATTTGTCATTTATTATTTTTAGTATTAAATAAAAAGATAGTTAAAAGAAATATTCTTTATACATTGTACAGATGGAAGGAAATCAGTAGGTTCAAAGAATCAATATATGTATGGGACTCGTCTTTTTTATACCCTTGAGATTTCATGTTCATTAAATCAGAAATCGACTTGGATTCGAGAATTTCGACAAAAGGATGTGGCGACCCGAATAGAGCCTTCATAAATTTGACCGCATTCAGGGCTGCATCTATTGATGAGACCCGTATTTTTACAGATGGATCAAGGTATTCATGATATGGATGATAATACTTACGTAGGTTGCGCTTTATGGATCCCATCCATAAATTTGAGTCAGGAATACTCGCTGAATCCTACCGCTAGCTCTTTCGCAGTGAAAGCTGCCATATTAGAAGCATTAAACTTGATATATCTAACCTTCCTGCTTCAATTTTGCTTGTCCTTGATGCAGTGTTAAGCCAGGATTCCGCGAAAACAGATTCACTATTTTTTTATCGTCTTTTTTTGTCCACTTTGCATATTGAGCCACGTTCCGGTAAATTATCGATATTTTTTGCCACATTATATCGCTGCACTCACTTTTGTACGAATGATTTCGACTTTTTCATATATTTAGCAGCCGCTAATTGTTGACGACTGACATTTTTGGACCTTTCGGGTGAGTGCAGAGAAACACAACGTGAGGAACACGCTTCATAGCATGATGCGTATTTGGTACTCATGGCGCTTAATGTGATTCTCTTAAGAAAGTTCAATGACAACTGAATCTTCCTTGATAGTGTATCAAGGACAAAGGTGCCCTCTATGGATTCATGATAGATTTAGGGCGATATCTTTTATTAGCTTTGAGTAAAGTCGACCACGCTCTTACTTGACTTACTGTAAGTATTGAAGATAATGAAATTGCGGATTCAATGGCAAAAAATGTTGCTATATTGGTAAACCAATCAGAAACATGGTTGATTACAAGCTGTGCGTTGCGTCTAAGGCTAATAAAACTTTAACTAAGAATTTTTATGATTCATTAGATAAGAGATCGGGTAGATATTATATGGAAATTGCAAAATACATAGATTTTCTAATGTTGAAAAGAGTTAAAATTAATAGAAAGGACTTTACTAGGGTTATTAGGGTGATTGCGGGATATTGCTATACAAACTCATTTAACAGATTGAAGAACTCTTCCTATATAAAATAAATAACAATAAATAAAGGATAAAGTAAGAGTCAAACACATTTCCTTAAAAGTCACACAATTAAAAGAAAAAATTACAAATAGAGAAAAATAAAATTTAAAAAATATAATAAAATAAAAGTTCAGTTTAAATACAAATAAATTACAAGTTTCGATTACCGGATTGAGCTCTCTTCAAAAATTAACTTATCAAAAAAAAAATCGCAGAACAAAATTAATTATTGGAAATGTTCGTATATTCACTATAATCACAGTTCGGGTGAGTCTTGATGTAGAACTCAACATTATTCACATACGATTGAACAGTCAAATGTGTTTCATATCTCTTGGAAAAGTTCAAAAATCATGTGTAATTTATTCAAACAAGTGTGTCCATATAAGTATGAAAAACCATTAGAATATATAAAGTTAAGTAGAACGCAGATGTGTAAGACGGACATTGTGTATCTGTCGCAGCTTTTTTGAGAAATTAACCTTTTCACGAAAAGGCTAGTCTTTATGCAAAACGGTGCTTTTTTGCGAAATCAACGATCGTTTTTCAATTAGACTGACGCATTTTAGCCTTTTCGCGAAAAGATTAACTTACATCAGTCTTATTGGATAATGATACACGTTCTGCAAAAAGGTTAATGAAACGTCTAGCACTAGTGCAGCTACTTCATCTCTTTTTGTTACGTGTAACATATAACATATACATATAGACAGACACACATTATAATATAGACATATTAGTGAATATTAGAATTATATTTTATGTGCATTATTATATACACACACATTACAAAACATAAAATATATTTCTAATTCATATCCACTATATCTGTTTAAATGTATTGGAATTTTATGTGCATTTTATATTTTCACATCCCACTGTCTACATGTGTTAAAAATATTCCAAGCGGACCCTGTCTAGACAACTTCTAGCCGATTAGGATCCAAGCGGGGATGTGTTCTTTTGTTTTGTTCAAGGGTGGCGTAGCCGCCCAGAACCCAAGAGCACTAGTCTACATACCCCACTGTCTATATGGGTTACAATTTCGCAATGTGACTGAGATTTTCTAACCTCAATAGTCGTCAACTTTAACGCTTAATATCTTGATTCGAGGCCAGAGCGGCACTTTTTTCTGCCAAATTCCTTCATTTCGTGCAAAAACGCATCGTGTATAAAACGAATGAGTGTATTTTTATCAAAATTTTAGGTGATCGGGGTATTCTATACCTTTACTCTTTTGCGTAAAGCCTAGAATGTAGACTTGACGCAAAAAGGCTAAATGTTTCATTAGCCTTTTTGCAGAATGTGTATCATTAACCAATAAGGCTGATGTGAGTTAGTCTTTTCGCGAAAAGGTTAAAGTGCGTTAGTCTAATTGAGGAACGATCGTTGATTTCGCAAAAAAGCACCGTTTTGCATAAAGGCTAGCCTTTTCGTGAAAAGGTTAATTTCTCAAAAAAGCTGCGACAGATACACAATGTCCGTCTTACACATCTGCGTTCCACTTAACTTTATATATTCTAATGATTTTTTATACTTATATGGACACACTTGATTGAATAATTTACACATAATTTTTGAACTTTTCCAAGAGATATGAAACACATTTGACTGTTTAATCGTATGTGAATAATGTCGAGTTGTACATCAAGACTCACTCGAACTGTGATTATAGTGAATATGCGAACATTTCCGATAATTAATTTTGTACTTTTTTTTTTTTTTTTT